TTCTGCCTTATCAGCCAGTGGCGATGAACGTTGCGATATCTTGCTGCCGTTATTTTCGTTGGTGGAAATCCTTTTCAGTGGTGCTGCTGCTGTTGAAGGAAGGTCATCAGCAGTGTGCCGGTTGTACGATAGCACACACACACTATACTATAGCACATCAAGCACTGCAAACGAAACGGTAGTAAAAATCCACTATCAGATCGACTTTCTTCCATTTTCCCGCCACACGGATCGGTCGGTCGGACTGACTGACTCTCTCTCTCTCTCGAAGATTGTGGGGTTGGCATTTTCGGAGCTCCGTCCACGACACACTCCGTCCGATGATGGTGGGTGAGTATCTACGTCCTTCGCATTTTCTTATCTCCTCGCAGCCCATCGCTTTTCATCACACAGGAAACGAAGCTAGCGATAGCTAGAGGCAGATAAGAGCAGCAGCAGCGACGAGACTCGTCCTGGTGTTCATCCTGCCAAGCTGCCGAGCTCGTTTATTCGTTTGTTATCTATCCTTTCGATAATTTTATGTGAGTGTTTGTAACTCCAAGTACACAGTGGGAAAAAATGCCGATTTTCAGCAAGGATCTCCAGACTACACTCTGACGATCGTTTCGACGGTGCCTGTTTTATCAGTCCACGCTAAAACAGACAGTCACCGACTGGCGGAGATAGATCCATTCACCAGAGATAACCGAAATAAGGACTCGAACAACACACACACAAGCACACCCACATATGTATGCATAGATGTCCAAGCCCAGCTAAAGCGAACCAAAGATGACAATCCGAAGGACATCTCCGAAGACAAGAGACCCACTTAGACCAACCTACTCAAGTCAAGAAAAGAAAGAAGAAGAAGACAAATCCGATTCCTATTCAATATATTTTATTCCACCATTCGGTAATCAGTAAAATACACAGATAACACTCAATCTCTCTGTCTCTGTTTGCCTCCTTCCCACAGTCTAGTCCGGAGAGATCCGGGCGAGGAATGCTTTTAAGCCTCCACTATCTCTTGCGCGTTTCTCTTTCGCTTTTTTTTTTCATTCGTCTTCTGTAGGGTTCTTTTATGTTTTGCACACTCACACAATTCACTTGGCGCGCTTATCTCAAGGATAAAAATCGAAAAACGGAATATCGAAACGGGCCAGTGCCGCTCAGCAGGGATGGGAAATTTTGTGCTTTCGGTTGCATAAATAAGCCGTTTCGTGTGCGAAGAAGCGAGCCTAGATCGCTTCATTCATTCATTCATATGTTCGCTAGGAACGGGCGAGGAGGATCTGGGTTGCCTACTCGAAGGAAGACGGGGGATGGACAGAGGAGAGGTGGAAAGATATGATGTAATTTTTGCTAGTGCATTTTTGCCAGACGAATGTGAGAATTAATATCACAACTGAATTGAAGTGGCTAGTGGCGTTGAAAAAAGAGACAGAGCTTGTAATTATCATTTAATTACACTAGTTAGGTAGCTTATCCTCGACAGATACGCGTAGTTAGTATAACAATGTGCCTACACGCAAGATAAAATAATTGTAATGGCAGTTCTTGCAATGGACTGCATCGTACAAGTTTTTCCAGAATGCATTCAAAAATATCAAAAAAATTTCCAGAATGCATTCAAAAAACTTTTTGAATTGAACCACTCAGAGACGTTGATAGAGACGCGCATGGAAAATTTCTGTCAAAACAGCAGTACGGTTTTTGAGGGATCTTTTGGCAATGTCACTGGCAACCATGTTTCTTCGAGTGGCTTCAGAAGACTTTCATACAGTGCCGCAATGCTGTTGAGAAAATTTGAACGTTCGACCGGAACTGAATAAAAATGAAGTGCGTGACAACATTTTGCACAAATTAAGCGAAGACGAGAGATGACAGCCGCTCCATGACAGTCTTTTGTCATATTTTACTGTTTTGCTTGCAGCGCAATCATTTTTATTACCATAAAACTAGATAAAAGGTTCCGATTTAAAATTGTTTTTATCACTAATAAATGTTGTATTTAATTGAATCAACAATAAGTAAATAAATAAATAACAGACATCAAATATTTCGTGACTTATTATAATTAAACACTTTTTTCATCATTGTGAACAATACTCCTTTCTGGTGAATTGATCGAACAGTTATGTTTGTTTACTTTGCTCATTTGGTTCAGCGTTTGATGGTTCGTTTGGTTTTTCTTGCTTCAGTCTATCGTCACTGCCACCACTAACTTTATCTCCATACACAAACTTTATCCCCTCTATTTGCATCTTACACATACAAACAATATTTCATAGTTGCATAATTTCTAAAAGTAGCATTTTAGCTGTAATGAGCATTTACAAGCTTGTCTTAGAAAAAGATTGTCAAAATTATTCACAGACACAGAATTATGAAAAATATTCTCAAAGATTTAGTGCGATTAATGAAAACTTTTCAAGGATTCTGAAACTTTGATTTTTTTTCAAGCTCAAGATTTTGCCGTCCAAACCTATCTTGGAGTCGAAGACTTATGGGAAGCAATCGAGCCCAAGAGAAAACAAGACGGAACTTTGGAATCCGTTGATCCTGTTAAAGACAGTTTAGGGGATTCCCCTGGAATTCGTTATTGTCTTCCGGGATCTGGTCCACAATCCGGCCACTCGTTTCACACGTCGTCCTCCACACACTCATGTTCCCGCACCAACTTTAAGTTCGATATCTGTCAAAACTGTACACTGCTATTGCATGTTACTCAATCCAGAGTTGTATACACTCTAAAACAGCATCAAATGGGTACTAATCTGAATCCTGCAGACAGGAAGGCAAAAAGGAACCGTCGAATTACTACCATGTTCATGACACAACTACAGCTCGGGAAGCTTGGATGAAGCTCACCAAAGCGTTCGGGAATCTGGCTTGTCGTGGGAAGTTGGTTTACCTTACAAGCTGATAACTACCGATCTGGAATCGTGCGGAACTATGCAAGCGTATGCCAACAGGATGATTTCGACGTGTCACCAGTTGGACGAGATTGGATTTCCAATACCGGAGCGGTTTTATAGTATCCTTTTAGTGGCCGGACTCTCGGAGAGGTATCAACCAATGGTCATGGCCAGGCTTGCTAATTGTCACGATCATCGACATGCTTTTGCATACATTTGTGTCCTGTCATTGGTGAAAATTTTAAAATACGGATTCACTCGACAGTTATACCATCAAATGTAATTTGACATCATGCCATTGCTTTCCATTATTCATTAGACGTTCATGCTTTAATAATAAAACAACAATGCTCACTAACGAAGTCGATCACTTCAAATGTTCATTCAGCATATTTGTAAGTGACACGAAAGAGTTCATTCTCCTTTACTTTGATTAACATTGGCGTTGACGGCGAGTCGGTAGCTCTTTACTCCTACGATAAAATCCATAAGCAAACGTCAGACTGTGCGTAAAACATGGCAGACTTCGTACCTTCTCGCTCTTCTCCCGTATCTTCTCGCTCCATTAAAAATTCCCATAAGAAAAAAAGTAAATTGTCAATTCTCGACTACTTTTTCGAAGGGACGTATCAACTTTTTTAAATAATGCATTTGATCGTCAGATGGGCGTAACTGGTAGCTCGCCCACGCATTCTAACACTACCACCAGATAGGGGAAATTTTCCCCTACCTGATAGTGGTGCTAGTACGCGTGGGCGAGCTACCATTTACGCCAAACCGACGATCAAATACATTGTTTACAAAAGTTGATACGTCCCTTCGAAAAAGTAATCGAGAATTTCTTTTAACTCTATCTTTTAATCTCAATAACTTGATACCGATCGGCTTCGCGTGGTAAATATTTCAAGGACATCTGTTTCTTTAAATATACTCACTAAATCGAATTCATAAGTACATCCTAAACGTCCAAAGCCTTGCTAAGAATGGGAGAACCATCATCAACCGGTGAGAGGAAGATATTCCGCAAAATATTAGTAGAAGAATGTACTGCATCGGAAAACGGGTTCGTTATATGCGCGATTGATAGGAGCAATTCGTGCAAGTACCGTCAAACTGCAAATAAATTAGATCCCGGAAACTTTATTCGTCATATTCGGACGGAACACGCCGAGCTAGCGATGGCTCGTGGATTATTTCGCGAAGAAATGGAAGCAATTGCCAAGAAGAGAAAAATTTCCAAAAGGCTCATTGCAATTGATCGACAAATTTTTGTGGAAGCAATGATTAAGCTTATAACTATTCATCACGTTCCTTTACATTGCGTTGATTGGGAAGGGTTCAAACTCCTCCTCGACCCTATCAGTAATTCACTTAATGTTCGTATGAACCGACCTAGCCTCATGCGACACTTGCTTGCTGCAGCTGATAAGATCCGTAACTCTATTAAGAGTCTAGTAAAAGGAAAATTGTTATGCTTGAAAATTGACAGTGCTACGCGCTATGGACGTCACATCCTCGGTGTGAATATTCAATTGTTTGATCCGGAAAAACAAGAAATTTCTATTTACACAATCGGTAATTTTAATGTTATCCTAATTCTAAATAGAATATGTCATTAATTTCTTATTTCAAATTTAAGGTATGATCGAGATAAACGAGCGCCATACAGCGAAATTTCTTGAATCAAAAATTGAAGAGATAATTGCTTCATATGGAATTTTGTTAGACCAAATATTTGCAATTACCTGCGACAACGGGGCAAATATGGTTGCCACTGTAAAACAATTACAGTCATATTTGCAGCTTCAAGATTTAAACTTGACCACAGAAGAGGTCATGGAAGACGATGCGGAAGGTTCCATCGACTGGACTGAAGCTATCGAAACTGAATTTTTGAATAGCATAACGCTTGTCAGATGCGCTGTACATACAATGCAGTTAGCGGTGACAGACGTAATAAAATCCTGTGATGCAGACATACGTCACTGTACTACAGTTGCCAAGAATTGCAGGAAAATTGCATATAAGCCAGTATTCGACTTGCGAAGTCACTCGCTGCCACCTATTTATGCAAAAACTAGGTGGGGAGGAATTTTCGAAATGCTACAACACTTTAACAAGCACGAAGAATTCTACAAAGATCTTGGATCACAGTATCCTGAATTAGGTAACTATAACATAAATATACGATTATTCCTTATTACATCCTAATTATCATTCATTTTCTTTATGGCGAGCTATCTATTATATTATGCATTACTTTAAAATCCTTAAAATCCATTAATATGGCGAACGTTAGGATGTTTTGAAGAATAACTGTTCTAACATGTGTACATATTTATCCAAAACCATTTATTCTTGTCACATTCCAGATCTTGTAAATCAGTGGGATTTTGTTAAAGAATACATCGCAGCATTTGAACCTATTTACATAGCTACTAAAAGTATGCAAGCTATGCACACATCGCTTTGTGACTTCTACTTAACGTGGATCAAGGCAGTGATGCAGGTCGGTAAAATAACCTCAAACAAATTCGCAGAACCTTTAGCCACATCGCTTACCAGGCGGCTAAAACAATTGAAAGACAACATGGTTTTCAAATCTGCACTACTTATCGACCCGCGATTCAATTACCTTAACTCCACAATATTGTGTGCTGATGAGAAGGAAGAAGTTCGGGTAAGTATAGAGGAAACGCACCTATTTTGTTCATGCTCCTAGTTTGGTCATGTTTTGTTGATATTTCTTGTTTTTTACATGTTTGAGATCTTAACTTAAGTTAAAATTGTTGATTCAAATCATATTCATCGGGGTACATATCTAGCGTTCTGAATCATACGGACCTAACTCGGCCGATGATCGATTCTCTTCATCGAATTTCTTTTCGCATTACTGTGATGAATCAATTTTTCAAAATTATTACAACACAATGTAGTGAAAGATTGTATTAGCATGCAAAAGCAACATCAAACACACCAAGAAATCTTAATCCAGACGATTTATTAACAAAAGAAAAAAAAACCGAGGAAGAGAATCGATCATCGCAGTAAGGCCCTTATGATTCTGAACGCTAGATATATATGTCGCCGACAAAACGCACGGAGATTGTGATTTAATTATTTTTCAAAGGTATGGCAAATATAGGAAAATATGACCAAAAGTGCTGCACTTACCATACTCCTACCAATTTTAAACATATTTTTTGATTTGATCGATTTTATAGGCCTTTATCGTCGCTACGTGGGAGCGGATTAAACGGTTGAAAGCATGCGATTCCGAGCAGGCTACACAGTCAACATCAGCCCCAACAACACTTCCTTGTAACGACCTAGATGCTTTCTTGACAAACATGTTTGGTGGATCCCTTCCTGAACAAGGATTGCCACAGAAAACGGAAAACTCGTTTGTGCGACAGCTCAACGCATTGGATTTGGAACCTCACCAGAACCACTCGTTCGATGTATGGAAACATTGGCTTTCCCGGAAGAATACTCATCCTGAGTTGTATGATGTTGCCACGATACTGCTTGCAGTCCCTTCGAATCAAGTTTCCGTCGAACGAGCATTCAGTGCACTTGGATTAGTGTTGTCAGATAAGCGCACGAAACTTTCCGATGACATGCTGGAGAATATTTTGCTTATTAAGCTTAATAAGCAACTGTTCGATAAAATTCTTCCAGGATTGTACAACTGGATGGATGAAGATTTCCAAGATCTTCCATGATCAGTGAGCTTTTATCATATTTTCGATTTGATCAATAACTACAAAGTTTGGAGTCCAAACCCATTTCATTTATCATCGATTTAAAACTTTACTTTAATTCTAATTTTTCACATATTTTTTTCTCCTTATTAATTATTCCATTGTATCGATATCACCTGGTTTTATTAAAAATCTGATTCACACTCCTAAATTCATTTTGATGTACTTATATGCAGAACATGTTGTATCGTATCATAAAAAAATAACACTGAACTAGTACTGATCCATCTAGCTGATAATCTCAAAAATAAGTTTCGCAATAATTTCCGGAATCCATACCATAGGCGAAACAAAGTTTTTCGGTCCATCAGGCCAGATCCTAGAAATTGCTTGTCCGTAGTTGACCGCAAGCACCCGCCTTGGAACTGAGCATGTAGATACACTACGTCGACGCGTTTTTTTTTTGATTCGTCCACGACCTTTCACGTCATTGATCCGTGCAGTCGAACGTACACGTATCCGCACCGCGCTTCCGCACCGACGCTTCCGAGAGAGCAGTCAGACTAGCTATCACCTAGGTCTTATGCAGCATATTACGGCATTTCACACTAATGCAGCAGGTAAGCAAGGCACTTGTTCGCCGGATCATACAACAATTGACCTGTGAAGTCAGCTCCTGAAGAAGTTACCAGTTCAGATTGGCATATTGGCCGCGAAGAATCGAGGATTTAATTTGACGACGTAATTCCTAAAAAAAATACGGTTGTCAAACATTGTCGTACACTTTATTCCTTCTTCATCTGTTGATAGAGATACTTACATTAATGTTTCTGAGCATTCTAGCTCTAGAATTCACGAAATACAACTGTAAATAGTACTTCATACAAGACAATGTCTTTTGACTTTCAAAATAATCTATCCCGTGTGTTTTGACATGAGCTTTTTACGATGGCAAGCGAAAATAAAATAACTTTTTCACTTACGTCTGTTATTCCAATGAGCAGTTCGGAACGTTCATTAGACAGAGATAAAACATAGACATTTGTTCGAGCTTCACGTACGAGCCGAAAATTCATTTATGATTTGACAGCAGTGAACTGCTAGATGAACATGGGGTCGTAGTCATCGGCATACACGAACTATAACACTGACATAAATTGGATGCGCGAACGTCATCAAAAGCGTCAACAGTTTTCAAGACTGGTCATGGCGCTCAAGAATTCTGGGATGGCTATTACGGGTGATTCGGTCAAGACCATTTTGCTGCAGGAAGCGTTCGTCGCGAAGGATAAGTTAAGAGAAAAAACGAAAGTTCCCTCTAGCAAATGGAAACAAAACAAGAATCCGACTCAGTCAAAGGGTCCAAAGGGTCCGAAGTACAGCAAATTTGGCCACATAACGAAGTTTTGTCCGGCAAATCAAGACAACAAGAAAGCCGGTGCGTTTTGTACGGTGCTGTCGATGATTCAAGGTCATGAAACGAATCAGTGGTACCTCGATACCTGTAGCAACCCGGCATATGCCAAGGGATCTGGAGCTCCGCAAGGAAATACGTAAGTCAAATGGAATAGTTTTAGCTGCCAACAAGGAAACGATGAAAATCGAAGCATCTGGAACGGCCATTCTGTATCCTGTGTGCTAGAAGTAGAGCCCCCCTTTCAATCGATAATCGTCAAGCGACGATGAAGCAGTCAACCATCACTTTCAATTGAAAGTCATTCTGTCTTCTCTTCGAGCAGATCCCCGTCAACATAAACAGAACCACTTTCGATCAGTTTTCATGCTGTTTGTTTTGACTTGACTAGTCTTCATTTCTTCTTTCATTCTCAAATGAACTTACTTCTGCATTAAAGCGAAGCTTTTCGATTCAAATTCGTGCAGTTTTTATGACTTTTGTTGATTGTTCACTCGGTTCATTTAAGCGTATGCTCATAGATTGTTGGTTTGTTTACCCATGAATATCGGTATTTTTGAATCGGGCTGACGTCTAGAGATCGAAAATTGATATGCGACGCCATTTTGAAATAAAAGATGTCGGCTTCCAGTTTAAGAAAAAGTGGGAAATGCTGTCAAATACTTATCAATAAACGTATTTTGGGAATCGTAATGATGTCTAGAGGATGAAAATCGATATCCGACGCCATTTTGAAATCGGAGATCGTGGCTTCGAATTTACGAAAAAGTGGAAAAATAGTCAAATACACATCAATATTAGTATTTGTAATCGGTATGAAGTCTACAGAACAAAAATTGGTATGCGACGCCATTTTGAAATCCATGAGGGCGGCTTCCGATTTTAGATTTAGTGGGAAATACTGTCAAATACCCTATATTGAAGGGTATTTTTGGAATCGGGATGGCGTCTAGAGGCAGGAAATCGATATCCGACGCCATTTTCAAATCCAATATGGCGGCTTCCTATTTCAGAAAAAATGGGAAATGCTGATGCCGTCCCATCAATATTTTGGAATCGGGGTGACGTCTGGAGATTGGAAATCAATATCCGACGCCATTTTCATCCATGATGGCGGCTTCCGGTTTGAGAAAAATTGGTAAATTCTATTAAATACCCATACAAACGGTTTTTTTTAGAATCAGGGTGACTTCTATAGGCCGGAAATCGATATTCGACGCCATTATGTAATCCAAGACGGCGGCTTCCGATATGCGGAAAAGTGTCAAATATACAAAAATATGGTTATTTTCAGAATGGGGATGTGACGTAGATGCCGAAAATTGATGTCGCGCCGTCTTTAAATTCAAGATGGCGGCTTTGCTACTGTCAAATACCGATCAATGCGGGTTTTTTGGAATCGGGCTGACATCAAGAAGCCAGAAATCGATGTCCGACACCATCTTGAAATTCAAACACCACCATCTTGAAAGTCCGACACCATCTTGAAGCTTCAAATACCCTATAAATGGCATCGAATATCGATTTTCAGCATCTACGCATCGTCCTCGTTCCAAAAATACCCAGATCTTAGGGTATTTGACACATTTTGTGAAACCCGATGGCCACCATTTTGGATTCCAAAATAACGTCGAATATCGATTTTTGGCATTAACACGTTGTCCCCATTTCAAAAATACTCATATTGTAGGGTATTTGACACTCTCTGAACCTTGATGGCCGCCATATTGAATTCCAAAGTGGTATCTAATATCGATTTTCGCCATCTACGCGGCATCCCCGTTCCGAAAATACCCTACTGTAGGGTATTTTCGGATTCCCAAATTAAGGTCGAATATCGATTTTCGGCACCTTCGCGTCGTCTCCGTTCCGAAAATACCCGTATTGTAGGGTATTTGAGATTTTCCCTGACCCCGGCTCCAGAATGGCCTCGTTAATTTAATTTTCGTTTAATATAAAATAATATATTATTACTACATATAATTGGATGCCATCCCTATCGGCAACCGATATTGTGCGGATACTATCCAGATACTATATTTTGATGCCTGCGTCGTCAGGTCGTGACAAGTCGAATGAGCCCCGAATTGAAGTGAAAGTGGAAAAAAAAAACGAAGAAAGCAGTTTTCGAGTCATTCATTGCGTCAATTGAAACATGTCTTTGCTTCAAATTAAATGAACTGAAGCACTTGACGAACGAAACAAGTGATAATCCAATCATGTCTGAAAAGAGGAATGTTCATCGTGACTCGATAACAAGAAATACGATGACTTACACGAAAATGATATTGCTCGAAATGAAGCGATTTTGTGGAGAGTTCATTTTCTTTTCTTTGTTTCGAAAATGCAGAACCCTGGCCAGAAGCATGAAGATGGAATTCCAGTTCACGACGTGCAGTTCATACCATAGTAGCAACTGTCATGATTGAAAACGATCTGTTCATACCAGCGCAATTGGAAGTGGCTGGTCAAGCGATATTGAGTTCTACCGGTGCATCTCTTGAAACATGGCACAAGCGGATGGGACATCTCAGCTATGGCAGCGTGAAGAAACTAGCCAATGGTGTGGCAAGCGGTATGCAAATCTCTAGTGAATGCCGCAACGATTGTACCGTTTGTCCAATAGGGAAGCAAACACGTATTCCGGATCAAGAGTTGAAGAACTACTTTTTTTTTCCTTTGGTTTGTTTTTTCCGTCGATCTTGTTTTCCGTGCTGAGCACCAATGCTACCGACGTGCCAGGAAGGCAGCTCCCACAACCTGGACCCTACCTATCGATCCATCAACTCATGAACCGGATACCAACGGCTTTACTTCCCATCCGAAGGAAGGCGTGATCAGAGATGTTATGCGTCAGAACATCCCGGCGGCGCCGACTGGGATTGAACCCAGGCCTGCTGGGGTGAGAGTTAATCACGCTTACCACTACACCACCGGCGCCGTTTGAAGAACTACTTGAAGTTATCAACTCGGACGTAGCGGGACCAATGGAAGTTCCATCACCAATGGAAAGTCGGTATTATGTGTCCGGTCGCGTTGGATGTTCGTGAAGACGAAATCTGAAGATGAGGTATTTGATTGTTTCAAAGAATTCCAGGCGTAGGCAGAGCACCAGTGCGGACAGAAGATAAAAATCTTGCGAAGGGATAATGGTAAGGAATACACTAATAACGGATTCCAACGTTATTTGAATCAGGTAGGAATCCGGCACCAAACCACCAATGAGTACACGCCAGAGCAGAATGGGCTCGCGGAACGCGCCAATCGGACGATTGCAGAACGAGCACGCTGCTTGCTGTTTGAAGCAAATCTTCCGAAGTCTTTCTGGGTGGAGGTTTACCTCCGATTCCATTAAAAAATCGAGATCCTGGACACAGAAAAAGGATTCTAAGCATCAAAGTTTGGGATAAAATGGAAATTCTGAGGATAAGATTTATTTTAAGATTTCATGCTTAGAAAATTAAATGATCCTGGATTTAGAAAAAGCTTCACGGTGTTTTATTTAAAATGTTTTATTTAAAATTGAAGGGGGGATTATGGAGAAGATTAGTGAACGTGAGAAGTTTTCAAGTTCCAAAACTAGTAAACACTATTTGAAATACCAAAA